TTATGTATTTTTTGTCAAACAATATTTATATATCTAGTGTTACTAGTAGAATAAACGTAATGGGAAGCGGTTCAAAACCCCCAATGGCAAGCGGTTTTGAACCGCACGCGCTTGGGGGGCTTGCCATTGTCAATTTAAATGGCAAGCGGTTCAAACTGCTTGCCATTTGAAGAGAAAAGGCAGCGGTTTTGGCGCCAAACCGCTGCCCATTAGGGCTATAAAAAATTAAAATAAAAAAAAATTGGTTTTTTCAACTGAAATTGATACAGAAACAAAACAAATATAAAAACACCAATATTTTTTTTAATTAATTGATGTAAGTATTACGTACATTTTCATAAAAAAAATATATATATATATAAGTATATTTTAAAAAATTAATACAACTAATTAAATTATTATAACAAGTTGTCTAAAAAAAAGAGAAAGCTTGTTCCACCACCGTCCACAAGCACCACCACCACTATCCACGCGTACCACCACCACCCACTTGCACCACGCACCAGCACCAGACCACGCAGCAGCACGACCACCATCCACCAAATCCCAGCCTACTTCGCCCACCACGACCCCCACCAACACCAAATCGGCGGCTTGAAAAAAAACCAATTCAACCACCAAATCACCATAAAATTTTAAAAAAAAAAAAAACTTTTAAAAAAATTAATAAAAAAAGGGAACATACCATGAATTCCATCAAAACGTCGAAAATTAGATTGAAATTTGGTTTTAAGGGTCAAATTCGACCATGAAAACTCTAGATCTAGAGTTTTTACGGTCGAATTTGACCTAAAAAACTCAAAAACCCACACGCACCACCACCGGACTTCAAGGGTCGTCGTGGTCCGTCGTGCACCACCACCGGACTTCAAGAGAAAGAATGGAGGGAGGGGAGGAGAGTGAGCGTGAGAAAAATGAGGGTAAATTGAGAGGTAGTGCCGTGAGAACTAAGGGGTAAGGGGAGGAGAGAGAATATATAGCTGGGTTTTTTTTATTAGGGTTTCTCTAACAAATGGTAAGCGGTTCACGGTTTAAACCGCTTGCCATTTACATTTTGACAAGCGGTTCACCCCAAACCGCTTGCCATTTGTTTATTTCAGGGTTTTTTTTTTTTAAATCGGGTAAATGGTAATAGGATTTATCAAACCACTTGCCATTTGGGGCTTCCCATTACGTTTATTTTACTAGTGTGTTGAAAAGACTTTTCGTATCGATTTTTACGATTTAGTGGCGATTGTAAATGATACGATTTTTCAAAATTATATAAATGTGTAAAAATGGTGTGGATATGTGTTATTATGTTTTTCGTATCGATTTTATATGGGAAAACCATGGCGATTGTAAAATAATACGACTTCCTTAGTTATTTCACAAACATACTTGCATATTATAGCAAATGTACAATCGCTACGAAATAATCGCTACGAAAAGACATTTTTCTTGTAGTGATCGAAAAGATGATCTTGAAACAATGAAAGAGTATGGTGTGTCGTGATGCAAATCACTGACTTGAAAACAAAATTCCGGCGCAACCAGGGTACACTATTGTATTCGCCGGCACGTTCCCTAAGGTTAACACACCACTTCCACACAAAGACACTTTTGGGTGGAAGGTTGGAGCCAAGTAACTTATGTCCAATATAGAGTATGTGTTTAAGTATGTATTTAAATAAGCTTGTGTTTGATATGTATTTCTTGTATTTTTAAAAAATCAGAAAACATCCTCCAATTTATAGAAATGAATGATAGAAGAAGATGAAAAATCATGGAAGAATCTTCTATGAACAAAGAAAAGAAATCAGAAATATTATGGTGATTAAAACACCATAATCAACCTCTTAAATGGGGGGTCACAAGAAATCAAACAAAAAGAGGAATCCAAGGGAACCGTTGGAGTCCAACGGATAAACACGCGTCCGATCGGGCGGAGCTCACCCGATCGGGCGGACATTCCCTTTTTCTAGATGTCTTCTCGCGCCTGGTCGGGCGGGTCTCGCCCGGTCGGGCTCCAGGTCGGGCACCCGATCAGGCGGAGCTCCGCCCGATCGAGCGGCGAAACTCCAGAATTTTACGACCCTTCTCGTGCCCAATCGGGCGGGACTCGCTCCGGGCGGCCAATTGGGCGCCCATCAATAATCATCAATAACTATATACTAAAGGCGAATAAAAAAATGACACGTGGCAAAATTTGGTTAAATAATTTCCCTCCACTTTTTTTTTTCCTTTTTTTGTCAGATTATCTTAGGCAATTTTAATACACTATAATATTTTCTTTCCTACTTAAACACAATCTTTCCGTCCCAAATTCAATAAAACATTTTTGTAACAACTTATAGAAAATTTAAGCAAAATAATATTATTTAAAAAGATATGCATAATTTTTAATATAATTAGCAGAATATCGAATCAATAACTATATACTAAAGGCGAGTAAAAAATGACACGTGGAAAAATCTGGTTAAATAATTTCCCTCCACTTTTTTTTTCCTTTTTTTGTCAGAAAATCTTAGGCAATTTTAATACACTATAATATTTTCTTTCCTACTTAAACACAATCTTTCTGTCCCAAATTCAATAAAACATTTTTGTAACAACTTATAGAAAAGTTAAGCAAAATAATATTATTTTAAAAGATATGCATTAATATAATTAGCAGAATATCGAATTTTTTCATAAAAAAAAATCATTAAAAAGTTGTTGAAATAAAAATATTTATAAATTTTAGTAAATCCGTGCATTGTACGGGACCATAAGTTAGTATCTGACTATTTCAAATTCCTTTCTTTTTTTCCAACATTATCGACCCTAAGTAAAGCTTATTGTTGTCTTGGAACTTATTTTCTTCTAGAAGTCTGAGGAGTGAGGACACAAGATATATGATGATATTCGATATAAGCAATTGGATTGGCTACTTGATTTGACTATCCGAGCAGGCGAGCATACAGTTTTTTTTTACAACAATTTCTAACAAATTAAAGAACCATGAACTTTTTGTTTTCCCTCCTATCAGCTAACCATACATCATCACGTAGACTAAAGAAACCCCAAACTGAGTAATAAGTTAATTTTATCACTTAAAAAAATTTGGTCATCATTCGATTCATTCACATGCATAAACAAATCATTATTGAGCAGATTGAGCCGAAAATGGCAGTAATAATATAGGATCCTAAATTGACTGACGTGAGAACAAAATAGATTTTTGTCTGGCTCCCCTGTATTTTTGTTCCTATGATTATTTTAATTTCCAATTGGTCAGTAGTAGTTTGTTTGTTATCGTTTTTATTTCCAAATTTCACAATATTTTTAAAAATCATAAAACTAATCATTATAAAATTAAGGGCTTGTTCATATTTACTGAACTGAGTTGAACTGAACTGAACTGATTGAAGCTGAACTGAACTAAGCTGAAATGAATGTTTTATGAGAGAGGGAAATTAAGAGCTGAACTGAACTGAACTGAAAATAAGTAAATATGAACAGGCCCTAAAGGATGAAAATTACTACTTATACAAAACGGATCCTAAGTTTAATTAGAACCAAACTAACTTTCCTAAACAAGTCCCTGGCACAGTTTGGTTCTTTTAATTTTGTCTGAAATTATAATTACAAATATAATTCCTTTTTTTGTTTCTTTTAAGTTGAACTAGTTTAATTTATGTACTACTCACATAGTCACTTTTATACGACTTTGATATGGAGTAATTTAAACTGATTAAGGGCCTGTTCCGATTGACTGAACTCAGCTGAACTGAATTGAACTGAGCTGAACTGAACTTATTAATTAGTGATTTCTAACTACGGATTAGTGATCTTTGATTATTTATTGATTGTTTATTACTATATATATGTGTATATACAAATGTACATATTATTATTAATAATAATATTATTATTATTATTATTATTATTATTATTAATTTTGATTATTATTATTATTATTTATTGATTATTATTATTATCATGTTGTTGTTGTTGTTGAGCTGAGCTAAGCTGAGCTGAATTTCAATGGAAGAGAACAGACCCTAAGTATAAGTACAACAGAAGAGAAATAGTATTTATCTAAACTATTCTAAACTTATTTTATGTTATTTGAATTATTTGAACTTATGTAATTTTATCTAAACTTATTACTCAATATAACAAATGTAAAAAAAAAAAAAAAAAAAAAAAATCGAAATCAAGTCAATGTTATGTATGGAAACAAAAGTTGAAATCGACACAAAATAATGTTAAAACCTTAATTCAAGATCGCAAATAATTTTCTATATAACTTGGCCATTAATAAGAAGTATTATACAACAAATAGACATCTGATATCATACGAGTAATAAGTTTTTTTTTTTTTCTTTTGAAAGAGTGTAACAACAGCTATAGTATATTAGTATATGAACAAGTTGGTTTTAAAATATTTGTACTACTCTTATGTGCTTGTTTGATAGAACATATATACTGTAAGATTAATAGTCTTAATAAAAAAAATTGAATTAAAAAAAATGCTTAATTTTGTTTAGTTGATCGATCATTTTTGTGAAAGCTAAACTTCTTAGAAAGTTCAAGTTCCTATCCAAATTTTGCCAACCATTCAACAAACTTCTTCTGTTTGTCATGTTTTCTTTTGTCAGCAAAACATATTACACTAATCAAACTAATTTTCACTCAATTTGGTTTACACAGGCAAGGTCTTACCTTTTGATGAGAATATTGAGTGAAAGGACCTCAGGGCTATAGAACGTAAGTAGCTCATTGGTCTACCTTTTGATGATAATATTGACAAGTTCACAAACTCCATATTTCTAAAGAAATCCTATTTAGCCCGAACTCATAAAACTTTAAGGTTGTGAGATGTAAACTTTACCGTAAACTTAAGATACTAAGGGCCTGTTCTCGTTGACTGAGTTGAATTGAAATAAATATTTTATAAGAGAAGGAAATTAGGAGTTAAGTTGAACTGAAAATAATCGTATGAGAACAGGAACTAAGTGGAAGAACCAAAAGGGTTATAGTATGGAAGTAGCTCATTGGTCAACCTTGCGGTGATATACGGAGTACTTCGTATCAAAATATCCGTATATTTTTCGTACATATCACACTTGAATCAGTATGTGGCTGTCACATACTTGGCATGTCAGCTAAGTTTAGGCAACTTCGCGGAAAAACTCTATGAAATTAACTTCAAATCAATTCACATTGATTTCTAGATAATTTCACATACGTAAGAGATTCAAATTTAAGTTTCTTACAAGGCCAGATTAGCCGTATATTTTAGGACAAATCTTATCTCGTCTCCATCATTACAATATCGCATCTCGTCTACATTATCCCTCTTTTCGCAAAGCTACGCCTATTGCCTACACATTCGAAAGATGAATTAACACTTCAATTCTAAAAAAATTACAAAATTATTGAAATATTTTACCAAGTGTAATTTCGAAAATTTCAAATAAAATCGATCATACTCAATTAGATATATTTTTTTCAAACAAATAATATGAAACCGAGTTAGTAAATTTTTTGATGAAATAGCCTAATAACTACTTGTATATGATTAATAATATAATAATCAAGCTAAACATCAATATTACAAAACAATTACTTAATTTAATTAAACTAAAGAAAGAAAAAAAAAACCAAGATTGAGTAGATAATAAGGAAGATTTCATATCATTTGATTTCAATATGTACGGTAACACATTAAAGCTAATGATCGAACAAATTTCTTAAACATTCAATCTAAACCTTAATAATATTAATTAATAATAGAAAAATCCCTTTTTATCCCCTCCAAAAATAAAATAAAAAATCATCTAGGAATACTCATCATTCGGCTAAAATCCTGAAAACAAACAAATCCATCATTATTTTTATCCACACCTTCTATCATACGCCGGCAATCCTCTAACGTACACCGTTCATCCCCCAACGCAACAAACCCCGCGTGCAACTCACTCGCCGATATCTTCCCATCATGATCCGAGTCAAAGAAATCAAACGCACCTTTTAGATCTTCTTCATTCGCAGCCGTCGGATCAAGCGCAGATCCAACGGCCTCCAGCTCTTTTAGGCTGATGCACCCGTCTCCGTCCATGTCGATATCCTTGATCATTGCCGCCACCTCTTCTTCGCTCAACGACGGTGCGTTTACTCTCACGCGCTTGAAGAGTGAGTGGAGTTCGACTCGGGTGATCTTGCCGTCGCCGTCGAGGTCGATCATTTTGAAGGCTTCTTCAGTCCACGGGCCGGGCCTGAGGGAGATGTCCTCGGACTTGGTTCGGCCCGGTTTTGAGCCCGAATGATGGTGGGTTGAGGAATCGGAGGAGGTTGAGGAGGAATAAGAGGAGGATCCGAATGAGGGTGGTTCGGATTTTGTGATTGATGGAGATGATTTGGGTTTTTTGGACCGGAATATCTGTTTAGGGTTCATTGATTTCAGGAGTTGCTTCATTGTAGTGGTGGTTTTGAAGGTGATTTCTGGTTATGAAGGAGGTTTTTAATGGCGGTTGAAGGAGGAGAGAGAAAGTAGGAGGGAGGAGAGAGAAAGAGAGGGGGGAATTGGGATGAGGGGAAAGAGAAGGGAAGAAGAGGGTTAAGAAGGGGAGGGAGGAAGCCATGGAAGTGGGGGGGAGGGAGCTTCCAGGAAGTTTCGTAGGATTCAGACTTTTTAGGGGATGGAGGTTTAAATTCACTCTCTAATTTTCTCTTTCTGTACTTGCACCAGTATTTCTGTTGTATGGATTTATTTATTTTTTGAAATTTCTTTTTTTGGTTTTGTATTATTCTATCTTGATGTGATAGATTTTTTCATACCAGGTGTCCAGGTGCGAGGTGCCACGTGGCCTATACTTTTTTATCTACGATATAATTTATTACCAAAATGAAAACAGCGTTTTGTGTAAATGGCAACACCATATGACCACTCATAAAAAAAACAAAATAAGAGCTTGTTTGATTTCAATAGGAATTAACTTTCCATGGTAAGTTGTAAATCATGGGAAATTATTTTTCTCTCTAAATTCCTAAGAAATTGCTTTAGTTCGTTTGATTGGCATTAAGGAAATCTCAATTCCTAGGAAATTTGAGTCACTTAGGGGAGGTGGGTAAATGAATTCCCACATTATGTAGGAAATTGAAATTCCTATTTCCTCCACTTTGCACTTTTTTGGTTAATCAAATAACATCCTAATAATACATTTCCTAGGAATTTTGACTGCCTATATAAATTTAGTGCAACCAAACAAGGCTTGAGTTCTAGAATACTAACTCTTTAATATTGAATAAGAGTGTGTTCTCTTCAGCTTATTTTCAGTTCAATTCAATTCGGCTCTAATAAGTTCAGTTTAGTTCTTATTTTAATTTATTTCTCTCATAAATATTCAATTCAATTTAATTCAGCTCCAATAAGTTCGGTTCAGTTCAACTCAGTTCAATCAATCGAAACAGGCCTAAATAATCCAAGTAATATTGACTAAGTAATTACTATAACACTGACCAAATAACCCCTATTACACTAACAAAGTAACCCCTATAATGGTTGACCACACGCCACATATAAGAATTAGCTACACAATACTACAAAATACTCTGTGTTCTTTTTTAAATGCATCATTTTAACTTTTGTATTATTTACACACTACGCATCAAATTTAACTTAATTATTATACAATTTCAATTAAATATATGGTACCCCTCCTTCGCTCATCTACATGTCTACTTTTCCCTTTGGGGTTTCAAAAATACATGCCAATTTTCATGTAAAGAATGTACTTTTTGACAATATTCCTTCTTTTAGATTAGTTGTCATTACTCTCTCCGTCCTTTTATTACATGTTTATTTCTCATTTTGCATGGGAATTAAGAAAGTTAAAGATAGATAAAGAGAACGAAAAATGGTTGGGAATTAAGAGTATAAATATGCATGTGGGGTTAAAGAGAGATAGAGATAAAGAAAAATGGTTGGGAATTAGGAGAGATAAAGTATTGGAAATTGATGTTAAAGTGCCAAAAAAATGACAAATTATCAAAAAAAGAATAATATTGTAAAAAAGTACAACCTATAAATAGAAACAAACACTTAATTTTGATGACCTGAAAAAATAATACATGTATGTAATAAAAGGACGGAAGGAGTATTTTTTTTATTATTATTATTTGTTTTTGTTTACTTTTGACATTATTTTTCAGCACTTGTCTCTCCATCTTTCCAATAATTATCAACTATATTTTCTTTCTCTCTCTAACCCACATACATTTTCATTCCCGTGTAATATAGGAATTAGGCATGAAGATAAGAAACGGAAAGAGTAATACATAATATGAATAATGTTTCATCAATTCTAAGGTTAACATTTTTACACTTACATAAAATTGAAATTTTTGATGCAAAATATTTTGCTGGTAAGTCATCATCATAATTGTTCATTGATCTTAGATTCTTGTCAATGAGTTAAAAGAGTGAGATTTTTTTATTGCTTTTGAAACAAATCAATTCATTTATAAAAAGTCATGCATCCGTCATATACAAATGAAATCTAAATTAACAAATACATAAAATTGAATCAAAATAGGGTAACCTTCATTAAAGCTACAATTGTTGAAAATATCTTGCACTATGGTACATCTCCCGGACACATTTTTGGAATATACAGCCTTTTCAAAGAGATGAACTCACAGTTTATTGTAGGCATAAGGATGATTTTAATCTAATTCACTTGAACGCATTTGAAAATTTGACAACCATCGCGATCCCGAACAGATATTTACCAACAAATTGACATTAAGGAAAAATATGATCACCTTTTTGATAAACTTTAACACACAAACAAACCCTAAATATAAACTAACAACTAAACTAACAAAAACTAACGACTCCGCTATATGGAGATAGACATATGTCTACACTACTCATGTATATTTATTGAAACCTAAATTGTAAAACTAAATAAAGTTAGGGGGGGAAATCTAATTTTCGGTTTTAACGTCCAAGATTTTGAAGAAATCCAAGAAGAGGAGAGGAGAGGAGAGGCGAGAGATTTTTGTACCAAATGCTTGTTAAAGAGTAAGATTAAGGCCATGTTTGGTAATTAGAGTTTTGACAAAAAATGAGCTTATTTGACCAAGTTAAAGGTTTGACTACAAAATTCATCTAAATTGGTTGTTTTGTAAAAGAGCTTATTTAAAGAGCTGATTGGAGTCGGGCAAATAAGCTGATTTGTAAAAAGCTAAAAAAATAGAGCTTTTTCATATTAGCTGATTTAGATATGGTTGCCAAATGACACTCTTATCCTAAAAAGTTTATCTAATTTACAATGTCAATGCCCTTAAAAAAATGTCAATGTCTAAAATTGTGATTTAATATGTTCAACTAACAAAACAACTATATCTAATCAGCTAATTTTATCAAACAACTTTATACAAACAAATTAATACAATCAGCTAGTCAAACAAGTTAATGAAATCAGCTTCTATCAATCAGTTTCCGCTAATTACCAAATAGGGCCTAAATCAGGCAAAAATGATTTATTTGGCAGTGCTACTTGTTAGTGTCCTTTTTATCTTTTCCTTTTTCAAGTGGAGCAATTATTCCAATAATCCAATCATCAATTGTTTTCCTCTGTCTTTTTTTTGGTCAAACGGAGTATGGGATTCCTTGATTTCCACTATATAGGGCTCGTATAATTATGCCATAGGCGGTTTTGAGCCGGAGCAAGGTGGGCGACGGAGCAGGGCCCCTTAATTTGAGGGGCCCCAAAATTTATATATATATGTAATTAAGTTTGGAATAATAACATAAAATTATAGATGGATTCTTCAAAAAAAAAAAAAAATTATAGATGGACTAGTGGTTTGAGTTAATTTGCTTCTTATGTATGAGAGATCTCAGGTTCAGCCTTGGGTCCAACAATTTTTTAACTTTTTGGGAAATAAAGTGAAAGCTGGCATTGAGTAAGGTTGAGCTTTGAGCGTCCAAACATTGAATGAAGTTATTACTTTGTCTCTAGAATTCTCCATCCAAACCCAAAATTAGATCTTTCCTTTTTCCAAATAATTTTTTCTTTCAAAATTTTTTCAATTTATTATTTTAATTCCCAAAAAAACTCTATATCTTCCAAAATTAATTTCACATTTAACTAATAAAACTTATTGTTTAATTTTGACAAATTTTCTAATGTAATGAATTTTTTTAACAAAAAAACTGGGTATTTAATTTATTGAGTAGAGGGGCCCATTTTGAGAAGTTGAACAGGGCCCCATAAATAATTTGCAATTGTAGCCCCGACACTGAATTATGCTACAATCTTAACAGTATATTCTGCTGAAATAATCTTTTAGAACAACTTATGTAAGATGTAAGTGTGACATATTGATAAAAGAAAAGAAAATTGCGGAGTAATTATTTTTTTAGGCTAATGACTAATGACTGTCACAAAGGTCAATTAAGAATTTATCCAAAATAGACAACAAAATATTTTTTATTTAATAAACACCTTCTATAAATTACTAATACTATTATTATTTGTTTTTTTTTTTTTTTTGGATAGACCTACACATTGTGGTTGTGGATGCTTACATATACTAATAACAACAAGCAACCAAGATTGTTTCCTAGTGAATATATTGTATTCTTGATATATAAGAGCAAAAAATATATCTAGTTGTTTACCGATAATTTCTTTGTAATTCCGTTAATTAAGCATATGTTAAAAAAACAAAAAAACAAACAAACAAACAAACTATATATAAAGTTACATGACATATATACCATCTAAATTGTTGTCGAGAATGATCATTATGTGAGAGGGTAAAATTAACACTTTAAATTTAGGATGAACCTATGAACTTATTTAGAGATTCATAATAAGTACATAAATGAAATAATAAAAGAAGAGAGGTTGCAATGTTCCGATCTCATCTGAAATTTAAAAACAAGTAAACAAGACAAGATTAGTCTTATTAGTTATGTCATTTTGCTGAGAAGTTTCCTTGCAACTTCAATTATATCATATATGACTATCGACAAGAGGATGCAATGATAATGAAATTTCTACCCATGCTACTACATACTATAGTGGTACTATATAAACCCTATTATATTAATCTACCACTAGTAAGAAATAAAGGGGTGGCCAATGAGTTTTATCTTTGTTATTTGTACACAAGCACATACATTGTACATCGATCATTCAATTCAACTAACCATACCTCGAGTCAATATTTGTAAGTCTCGAGAGTGAGGGATAACTCAAGTGGTTAGAGCTTCCTTTCCGGTTCTAGGAGAACCTAATATCTATTCTCACCCTCGCTCTTGTGGCTCTCAAAACACCAAAAAAAATTTGTAAGTCTCGAGCACAAGTCCTTATAGAACACAACAATATTGGAGTACTAGTATTGGTGGGTAGACCTTTCCGGCTTTCGTCGTGTTGGGAACTAATTAACCTGCCCTATCAACTTACGGATCGAGATTAGTATGGTTTAAAAGTCTCTTTAGGTTACGAACATTATTATTAGATGCTTTAATGAAAAAAGAAAAACTTTCTCCACATGCATATATATTGTATACTTGTGCGTACATGAATGATTAGCGATTTTTTTCGTGAGTGATTAGTAGAATAGAACACAATAATGAATTTTATTAACCAAACAAAAGACAATCAAGAATTAATTAATCAATGGTAGTTGTTACAAATAGCTTTATAGGTACGGCAAAAGCATACTAGAAACAGATGATCAATTGGGTAGAAATAGAATTAAAGTCAATGCTTTATTCTTTAATTGTTGAATTGTGAACTCCTTTATGGCCTTAGTATGTCCAATAAATTGGCTATGTATGAACTAAGTTTTCACATTGTTCTATAGTCTATACATAGTCAAGCTCTTTGCATCACAAATTCACAATCTATGCGGTTCGAGATTGCGCCACATCCATCATATAATTGTACTTCCTTCGTTTTTTAGTTGCAACACTTTTTTTTTTCACGCTTATCGATATATGTTTTCAATTATTTATATATTTAATTACCAATATGTAAGAATTATAAACATTTTTTATATTAAAATTGTATAAATTGATACGAAAAATCTAATAAAATCGCACATGACTATATTATTACTTAATTATTAATCATTAAAGCTAGTCAAAGTGAAACATATAAATAGTGTAAAAGTCAAACTGTTGCAACTATTTAAAAAAAAAAAGAAAGTGTTATTTTTACTTAAAATTCTTCTTGATGATGTCTTGTGAATTGTGTGTTTGCAATTATTGTACAAGGAAACAAAAATATGACATAAATACAAGAGAAAAAACAAAAGAAGAAAAGCAAGAAAGCAAAATGAACAATTATTCATATGGAATTATCATTATTTTATATCATAAATCTTAAAAAATGAGAGATACTAATAGAAATGCATGACATATTTATCTTTGAGTTTGTTTTTTCAAGTAATACGCGGTACTATGTATGTAGAGATGTACGTATACGGAGAATCAATCAACGTACATGACAATTGCTATTTTGAGATCATTATAGAATGTGTTTACATTATATTGGGGTAGTTGCTTAAAAGAAAGTTTAATTTCCATAATTCAGATTAGATTGGATTGCATTACATGATATTGACTTAATACAATACTAAACATATAATTGAAGCTTATAATTGCAAATAAATAAGTATTAGCTTTCTTGGTTAATCAGTTTTCGCACAAGGGGGGAAAGTTGGTATAAATTGTTATAGATGAATGTGGTCATGTTATGTACTCGGAATGAATTGCTTCAATGAGCCGTACTAAGGGACAGAGTCCTATAATTGCTCTCAAGATACGCACTTCTCAATTGTTACTTGCTAACCAAATCATTTGACAAAAATTAATCACACTTTATCTCCATATCTTGTGTAGTTGTGTCCATCCGTTCCTAAAAATATAGTTCCTATTTGAATTATAATTTGGGTCTCACATTAAAAACTTTGATAATAAATCCCCGTTAATTTATAAGAGATTATATGTTTATGTGGGATCTTGTTGGATACGTCACATTTTATAATTTATTAATATCAAATTTTTATAATTTTTACACGTATGAAATTGAGATTTAGACGTTTTAAAACACGTCTTGGAGATTGTGAAAAGTCAAATGAGAACTATATTTAGGGGCGGAAAGAGTACTTCATTTTTATTTATTTTTTAAATAATTTCCTATTTTTTGGGGGCCATTTGTCTTTTTACACCATATTCAATATGTAGATATTTAAACATCAATATATTCAACTATGGTGATATATTGAAATTATTATTTACAAGTATTACAATATCTCACAAGAATAATCATCCTCATGTTTATTCAAGATTTTCACATTATTAAAGTTTATTTCTCCTCAAATTGAAGATTCCAAATTAAACAAACAAAGAGAAAATATGAGAATTATGGAAAATTGTTGATAACTAATTTAATTTAAATCGAAGTATTTGTACCATGGAAATATATTTGAAATAAAGTATTTCCAAAAATTATGGCATAATTCAGGAGAAATATAACAAAGAGATTTGATTTTATAATCAAATCTAATTCTCTAAATCATTTACAAAAACGGTCGAACCACCAAACATGCATCACTCGAACGGTCGAACCTCCAAACATGCAATTTTGCCAGAAGTTTATATTACATCTATCTTATTCTTATATTTTTATTATAATGAAATGCATATTTATTTTCTAATTCCATAAGTAGTTGTTACCTACCAGTTTCCAATGCATGTTACTAATATCTTGATCCTTTGACAACAATATATAATTGAGATGATTTTTAATGATTGATGATCATGATATCACAGTGATCATGGAATCACGGTGATATGCTTAAGAAGTAGGTCACCATATTCTTAAAGTCTGCTTGAATTAGTTTTTCCATTTGAAATAATAAATAAATAAATAAATAATTAAAATCAAAATTACTGATTTTGATATTATACACAATATGCTGAATTATAATCCTTAAGCTATGTGCAGATTTGATTCATGTACTATTAGGGAGTATACTAGATCAAAATAAACTATGAGGGTTGAGGTTTTACATTTTCATTTTCCTTACCTTCAAAGATGTAAAACACTGGCTAAGGGTCTGTTCTCATTTACTGAACTGATTGAAGCTGAACTGAATTGAACTGAATTGAATATTTTATGAGAGAAGAGAATTAGGATCTGAATGGATTGGAACTGAATTGAATTGAACATATCCTGAGTACTAAATTTGAATGGTTGTATTGTCAAATCAACAACTACAATTTTTTTTATTTTTTTTTTGAAACAACAACTACAATTAATTAAATCAATTTTTATTCAATTCAAAAACTACCAAAGATCGCAAGGCCCCCTTTTTGAAGAAGGATGTAGAGGACAACGAATCAAGAGACGAGGGTATTCATCAATGTCAATTCTCACTTGCGCTTGTTGTTTTACAGAATTACAATTGTTATTTGATTCAATTTTCATTGTATAAATTGTTTCCGATCTCTTTTACGGAATTACATAATCGATCCTAATATTTCTTAAAATCGAGAGGGAAGTTCTAACCACTTGAGCTATCCAATCCCTCACCAGCTCCCAGTCACTCACTAACGCACAATATTAAATATTTACTGTATAATTTTATTTGATTACTTCCTCCATGTTTTATTAAGTGTTACATTTACTAAATATGGCCGTATTTTAGTAAGTGTTATACTTTATTTTTTGGTCAAAATCTACATTTTAATTTTACATCTTTCTTCCTTTATGGTTCCCACCTAAATCTACTATTACTTTTTCATTTTTATTTTTTTCCTCTCACATTCATTACTATCCTGTTATTTTTCTTTTAGTACAATTTTTTTATACTTCAACTATCCTATTCAGCTTTTATTTATTTAAGTCAATTAAATTGCCAAAAAATTAATTATCGGATAAAGTGTAACACTTATTAAAACACAGAGGTAGTATATGAAAACCAAAAACAGTATAAACTTTATTTTATTAATACATGTAATAAAGTCAATCCAATAACAATTTTTTTTGACAGGCAATAACATTTTATTTGATACTCTCATATTGTTTTAATGTAAACTATTTTTGATAAAAACAAAATTTAACACATTTGCTAATGCACAACACTTTTTTTTTAAAAGGTAAACTTTTATCCGCACTTCATAATTTATAAGTGAAAATATAATATATAAGTGATAATACACTTATGGATCATGTGATAATAGATATATAACCGTTATAAAACGCTTACTGAAGACTACGAAAAGTTAAAAGGGGCAAAAAATTAAGCATTTGCTATGACGATGGCCAGAAATCATAAGATGAGACACTGGTTGTAATTCTCTGGGGCCTGGAGCCCAACTAAGGGGAGCAAAACTGGTTGCACTTAATTTTGGAACATATGTTCTACGCATATAATTAGTCCTGCAACTCCAAATCCTGCTTTCACTGTATGTATGTTATAATCTTGTTTTTCCCGTGTCTCTTGCTCATACCCATTTTAACATTTTTTATCCTCCATTTGTAATTAATTTACACAATTAAAGATATGATTATTAATTTAATTAATATGAATTATATACGGACCAGTGGAAAAAAAATAAAGAAAAGAAAAAGTGAACAATTAGTGATTGCTAATATCAAAATGATTGTTTGTAAAACAATTTGAGGTGTAGGATAGAGTTGATCATGGATTAGTCGTGTCTTTTTACGAAACATAAACACCTCACTTCAAATGAGCTCGCTACCTGTGAACTGTTAAAATAGCGGATAGATGTTAGCTTTTAAAGTAACGTTAGATATTATAGTATGAGTGTTTGACAAAAGTAATAGTTGATAATTAAACTATACATATATTGTTTAATATAGTAACCAAAATTTTACAATCGTTACTAGATATTTTTCAAATAATACTCTTTTTAATGTTTTGACAAAACTATCAAAATACTACCTCTAGGTCCTCTACCACTAACTGCTACTTGAACCATTACCTTGCTAAACACTCATTTTTTAAAAGAAGTGTTTGACTTGATTAAAACGCTAATCGCTACTTCAAACTCTACTGCCAACCAGAACCTTGACTTGATGAACAACAGAAAAACATGAATCAAAGTCAAACAATTAAGGAAAAATTGCCACAATTAATCCCAACTTTGCCTATCCGTGAATATTAATCTCAACTTTAGTTTATTCCCTATTACTCCCAACTTTGTACCCTATTAACTTTTATCACCTCCAAGTGACTTGAAACTGGTTGATGAGTTAAACCTTGCTAACTTGGGATTACTTGTACACATGTCGCAACCGGATTGATTAAAAAGTAAAAAAAAATCAAAATAAAAAAATTAAGAATAATTAAAAAAAACCACCTAACGATAGTCGCAGCCACCCACGGCTAGCCAATCCACTTCCCCCGGAGCGCGACAACCGCCCTTAGCTTGCCTTGGTGTCGTCACTTCCCCGACGCCCTCCATCAACCTCTCTTCTCCCCTGCTCCTTCTCTCACGCACCAAACGGCCACAACCATACCAAAACCGGTCTCCATCAACCTCTCTTCTCTTGCGCCGATTTTGTGGTTGATTTCATCACTGATTTCGGCCTTTAGTGGCCAATTTCGTGGTTGATTTCGAATGTTAGGGTTATGGTTTGGGATTTGGGGGTTGGGATTTGGGGGATTTTGGCTGGTTTGCATGGTGATCGAACATGAAAGGGGAGGTGGTCGAGGAAGCACCGGCACTGGCGCTACGGGAGGGGGGGGGGAAAGGGGTTGGGCTGGTCGTGGCTGTTTTTCGTGGAGCTGCACGCCGACTCTGATGAGTGCGTGAAGTGCACAAGGAAGGGGAAGCGGAAAGGTGAGCAGGGAGGCGGTGATACAGAGGTGGGGGAAAGGAAGGTAGTGTTGTCGGCGTCGTGGAATACTGGCTGGTTGTTGGTGGTCGTGGTGGGGAACTAAAGAGAGCAACGGGGAGGATGGAGGAGAGAGAAGGTATTTTTTTAATTTTATTTTAATTTAAACTTTATTTATATATTTTTTAATTTTTATATTTTAAGCCAATCATACGCTGACATGTGTCTTGTTACCTGTAATATTAGGTTGGATGACCGATTAGGGGTGATAAAAATTAATAGGGTATAAAGTTGAGAGTTATAGGAAATAAAGTGAAGTTGGGATTAATATTGACGGATGAGGTAAAGTTGAGATTAATAATGACAATTTTTCCAACAATTAATTGAAATAGATAATCATGTATAGTATATCTCACACAGGCTAAGATTCAACTCCATTTGGCTTGCAGCCTCGCCTCGTTGACATTCCTAGTATCGGCATGCAGGTAGAGTGTCTTTTGAGACTAATAAAAACAAAGGGCAAGAAGAGCAATAGCACGCGGAAAAAACAGAAGGTAGCACACGGAAAAAATTAAGAGGAAACAATACTAAAAGACCAAAACAAGTGGGGTTGAGTTGAGGTTGTGATGTTGGAATTGATGATCTCAAAATAGTGAAAACCAGTAGCGCCACTCTTCCATCCAAATTGTCATTAACTGTTAAAGGACGATATCCCCACATCTCAAGAATTTTCAATAATCACGACAAATTGCTATTATTAATACTTGTATTTCATTAAGGAGTACATTATTTATCAATTAGGACTTGGACCACCATTCCTTTTTTTTTTTTTTTAGCTGTTTTAAATTTGTACTGTATATCCCCGTCAAAAAAATAAAATAAAAAATAAAAATAAAAATTGTACTGTATATCTTACGGAGTAATAATATTGCAATTTGAACACCAGTCATTTTCCAATTGAATGTAGAAATTGCTGGCACAATCTTTTGACTCATTTACTCATTTGTCATTATAGAATTAAATAAAACTCACCAACCTTCATTTACATACGGAGTAGTTTTTTTATTTTTTTATGCAAGTCATAATAGCCGTTTAATGAATATGGAGTATTGTACTATTTAAACTTTTACAATGTTTATTTATTACTCCCTACGTACTCGACAGAACGACCCTTTTGGATTGATGGGGTTTGTAAAAAGTAGAGAGAGAGAGAAAATATTAAAAGTACATGAAAAAAAATTAAAATTTTACATGAAAAAGCTAATTTTGTACAAATATTATTGTAAATTAGTGGGTATTTTAATATAAATGGATCGATTATTTTGGGACTAAAATTAGGCCAAAATGGTCGAACTTTTGGGGACGGAGAGAGTATCTACTTCCTCCGTTCTATTAATATTGCAACAATGAACTTTTTACACTATTCATTCATTAAACAAAATATGGTCAAGTGAAATCTTGATGGATTTTTTGCTTAAAATACTTTCACAATAACTTTTATGATTTTTACTATTACATAATTATAGATATATAACGTATAAAATGTGTTTTAGGATGCATAAATTCATCCTTGTTATAATATTATTGAAACGGAAGAAGTATATGTTAGAGAGATGAGTTCAAATCAATATTGGACAATGTATGTGCGATACATTTTTCATATTGATATGTTAGAGCCGCCTTAGAGGTATGAGATCAAATCTCTAAAGGTGTGTTCTATTCACTTAATTTCACTTATTATTTGAAGTTAACATAACTTATTTAAATTTATTTTAATTGTAATTTGAAATTGAATAACCCTTATCAAACTTCTAAAATTTGATTATGCAATGATGGATTATGTATACTAATTATTGATAAAAAATTTATTACTCTTTCACCAAGAAACATTCTCTTTAAAAGAACTAACCTCTCTTTTCTTTCTTTATTACTCTTTCACCAAGAAACATTCTCTTTAATAATCCATGTTTGCTTCAAGTACTCGCACTATTGTTTTCTCCTTAAAGGTAAAATGCTTTTGGCGAAAATGGCAATAATAAATAAAAAAGGTAAAGTGTTTTGGCAGAGGCTCATAATGTCAGTCCTTAACTCTAGCCCAGAAAAGGCAGACACACCACATGAAGCATCAAGCCCGCTTACATTTTCACATTGTTTCTCCCTCGCACGCTTAAATTTAGTGCTGTAAATTATTTGTACCATCAAACTAGCTAATTTTTGTGGTCCAAATTTGCCAAAGTCCTTTCTAAATCTTTTACTACCCCGTGCAATTTTTGGTATTATTTGTGAGTTATAAAATATTTTAAAGTTGTACTACTTTTGGTTTAAATTATTTACAACTTTGGAATATTTTATATCTCAAAAATAATACCCCAAAGTTGCGAGTAATTTGGACCGAAGGTAGTATATATAATATATAGTGGAGGTAGTATATACACACAGTGACACGGGTATATATGAGTAATACTTCATCCGTTTTTTAATATTTGCAACACACTTTTTCACGATATTTAAGAAAAGTAGAGTTCACATGTAATAAACTTTAAAATGAGATGTGAGGTGGTTAGGAGTATAATTTAGTGGGTCATATGCGAAATAGTACAACTTTTTCCCAAATTAATTTTCCAATTATAGTGTGGTAAGTATTGTCTTCCGTTTCCGTTTTATGAAGTGTTGCAATATTAAAAAACAAAGGAAGTATATGTGGAGATAGGTGCATTCATAGGTGATTCTTCCTCTTTATTCTGACTTCTAGCACTGCAAATTAATCCGTAATTAAAAATGTATTACAGACCTACAGAGTAATGACTCTAGTAAAACCTTGGTATCAAACAAAGCCTAAATTTTATTAGGAGTAATACCAAACATTAGTATTTTGAAGTATAATGAGGATCAACTAATCATACTTTAGTACTAGTAAGATTTTATTTTAAAATATTGACTCAAGCAACAAAACAAAATGATCAACTTAAGTGAGTTTCTAAGTACCAAATAATGTATAATAGCTGCTCATGAGATCTACATCCTTTGTATCTAAATAAGTGACTAACTTTAACTGATGTCTAAATATTTTAAGTTAAAAAAACTACGAAAACATATATTGTACTCCCTCCGTCCCTAAATTACATTCCTGTTTCTAGCATTTATTCCTCACATAATAAAGGAAAACAGGAATGTAATTTAGGGATAGAGGGAGTATTATAAAATCCAATAAAGTTTACCAAATAGGCAAATAACACTTTAGTTTTTGGGTATGCAAAAGTTGCAGAAAATGCAACGGTAACATAATAATATTGCATAATTTCATTACTTATATTCTGTATGTACTACATAGTATTATTTCAAAAGACTTATACTTGATTTGCTGGGAGATCTATAGATGAACTCCCTTCAAAAATAAACGTATGCCACTCAATGCAGCGAGCACACGGTATTCTTTAGTAAAAGGCGAAAGAATAGTTCGCTTTGTGCTCACTGCGTGGCTGCGTGAAGAGAACCATAATTAAGCACCCTTACTTATATTAGTTTCCTAGCTTGGTTCTTTCTCTTGGTCCATGTGGGACAAAATTCAAGTCATAGTTTGTTTTCAGCATAACATTCAGCAACGAAACCGAACCCTATAACATGTGGGAAGTTTATTACCAAAAACTGTCAATGATACAAATCAACAACGAATGCTCAATTCAAGTTCGATCTTGACACCATTAGTGTATATTTTGTTCTACGTATGTTTCTGAATTGACATTTGGAGTTAATGACGGAAAACTCTTTTGGTGCATAGTGCATCAAGCTAATGCTTAGGCTTTTCTGAAGAAAGCATCAGATGACATTATAGACTTCTAATTTATATGCACATCTGCTCAGTTTTACTTACGTAGGTAGTAGTATAATTGTGGAAGCTGAAGCCGAAGCCAAAAAGGAGGGTTTGGAAATAAGTTTCAACCAGCAATCGGTTAATACCTCTCTAACTGTGTCATTACCCAAGATAGAGTTTAGATTGCCAAAGTTTTTGCTTACATGATGTTTCACGACGAAAACAAAAACAGTAAAGTAGCAGCAGGTTTTAAAGATTTGATGGTGGGATAGACTACATTTCACATGTAAAATCACAAAAATTATTACTCCGTTTATCAATTAATCAAACTGCTACTAGAAATATCAATTGTATTAAGTAAACCTCTATTCAAATTTAAATTAGTAGTTATAAGAGAATAACAAGGAGTCACTAGGTTTAAACTTTACTGATCAAAACTGATTTGCTCAAAAAATTGACTACTAGATTTCCGTACTAAACAGTTTATAAAAAGAACTTGCTTCCATAGTTGAATTTACTCCAAAAAAAACAATTGATATACTTCTTTTATACAAAGATTTTAATGTTATGATACATGCTTATCTCCTACACTAGAATCAGCAATCCCGCTAGCAAAAAAAAAAAGGGAAGATTGCTAACTGTAGCTACATCTATGTTAATCAACGTCATAACCAACTTCAACGCAATGGAAGTTTTTCCGTGGTCAATGCTTACAAATTTTGCCTGGCAAAACTTCACAAGATGGCGAAAAAGCAAGGGATATGGCCTCATGAAGTCATGATATTGCTAACATAGTAGCATACTAGTATACAACAATAAATATCAATTGAGTTATCTACACCTCATTAAGAAAGATGAAGATGAAAATGATATGCATGGTATTGAGGCTGACCTCTTCATGAGCAGTCATATTAGCAGTCTGGCAAACAAATCAATACTTGAACACACCCTATGTAGCTGGCAGTTTCAACTCCTAAAAGCAGCTTGATTGAAGTTATTTCTTGTTGAATCTTGCGTTCTCGGCAAGAAAGGGCAAGCAGAGCATAAGAACAAGCTGAACCTTAAAATTCAATTCTTGAAGATTGCATAAGAGCTAACTGAGCCTTAATCTTCAATTCTCGATGATTGCTCTGAAGTAGTAGCACTATTTCCATTTTCTACATTGGAATGGCCTTCTGGCATAGAAATAAAATCAAGTTTACCAGTGTTCTTTTCATCATCACCATGTTCAGATTCTGAGCTGGCATCAGTGTCCCTTTCAGGGCATTCAATTTGCACACACTCAGCAGCTGAGCTAGGCAAGCTTGTATAGCTCTCAGAATCGTTACTCCGACCTGAAACCGTAAGGCCTTCCTTTTTAACAACATTAAACACTATTCCATTATGGATTCTCTCTGGCTGCAAAAGATCACCTTCAGTGACAGTAATACTACTAGATCTGCTCAGCCCTGCCCGGTTACCAGAATCCCGCTGATCATGATCTGCATTCTCAGAATTCCTGTCGAGTGCTGTTCCCCTTGATTCCCTACTCACTGATTGCATTACAGCAGAGTTCAGATGTCCTGTAAGACTTTGCTTCGTTTCAGCATCCATGTCCAAACTCTGAACAAAGTCAATAAACATGTTAGCAGACGCAGTCCTCATGAGTGGTCCACCAGATCTTGTCCATGTGTTCAGATCAATATTTTCAGACTCGCTGTCACTGCTGTCATGTATGTTCCGGAATGTTCTATGATGACGGCTTGAAGATCCACTTGCTTGCTGAAAGGACGCAACTTCAGCAAGAGCTTCTTCATCAAGAGATCCTGTTGAGTTCTCTCGAGCAATACAGTTCCATGATGGTATTCTTTTTGAAGCATTAAATCTAACGTTAGAAAGATTTGGAACCTGGGTCTGAGAAGCAGCTGCAGCGGCACGCTGAGCACTCCGCCTTAATTTACGCATGTGGTTAAGATATGCAACACACTCATCTAGAGCAAGTTCAATGGCACAATTGGCTTTTATGGCAGAAAGCTTCTCCCAAGTACATCTTCTACCCTGGTTTGCTGCCTTCTGTAGTTCTCCATATGACGGATTCTGGATGATTTTTGAGTACTGTAAAAAAAGAGGGAGAGAAAAAATTAAATGAGTTAAAAGAC